CTTTAGAGAACAATAAAAAAAATGATGCACACATAAAAACTAATTGAATAATCAGATTGACTAAAATAATCAGTAGTTCAGAAACACGGACCTAATCTCATCATCAAACGAATCAAAAAGGCGTAGATTCTACAAAACAAAACAGACAATTGCGAGGTTTCAGATAATCTCAGCAAGTTTATTTTTGACAATGAAGACAAAAAAAACAAGTTTTATTTTGATCAAAATATAAAGATTTCGGGATTGGAAACATGGCATATCACTGGAATGTAAGCAATCAAAAACATCTAACCAATTCACGACATCATAAAAATCACATAATATTAATAGCAAAATCGAGACGCACACAAAAAAGCTACTGAAAAATCAGATTGAAAAAAAATTCAGAAACGTGGACCAAATCTCTCAACCAAATGAAGCACAAAGGCGCAACTTTAGCTAAAAAGGCGAGCTTGAGTTTTCAGAGATTCTTATAGGGACCATATTTGAAAAAGACTATTCTGAACAAACCTAATTTTAGATCAGAAATATGTGTTACCATAAATCAGGAACAGCTTGTGAAAATCAGATTGAGAAGATAATCAATTGTTCAGAAACACGGACCAAATCTAAGAGGCGCGGATTCTGCGAACAAAAACGCGAGAATAAAGTTTCAGCTGTTCTTAGCAAGCGTACATTTTAAAACGAAGATAATAAGCATGTTTAAGTTTAGATCAAGAAAAATTGTATCAAAACATCAAAAACACAGGATATCTTCATAAAGTAAGCATTAAAAGCTTATATCAAATTCACGAAGTTGAAATATACAGACTAAATCAAATTAACAAAAAATAACAAAGCATTATTGCACATAATCAGTAGTTCAGAAACACGGACCAAATTTCAAAACCAATCGAATCAAAAGGGCGTAGATTCTACAGACGCCATGTGAAAATTTCAATTGCTCTTAGCAAGGGTACAAGTAACGACGAAGATTATAAACAGGTTTTACTTTTGATCAGAAAGAATATTAATCACGGATCAGAAACACGGGAAATCATCATTAAGTAAGCTTTAAAAGCATCAACCAAAATCACGAAGTTGAAACATACAGAGTAAATCAACTTTAGAGAACAATAAAAAAAAATGACGCACACATAAAAACTAATTGAATAATCAGATTGACTAAAATAATCAGTAGTTCAGAAACACGGACCTAATCTCATCATCAAACGAATCAAAAAGGCGTAGATCTACAAAACAAAACAGACAATTGCGAGGTTTCAGATAATCTCAGCAAGTTTGTTTTTGACAATGAAGACAAAAAAACAAGTGTTATTTTGATCAAAATATAAAGATTTCGGGATTGGAAACATGGCATATCACTGGAAAGTAAGCAATCAAAAACATCAAACAAATTCACGATATCATAAAAATCACATAATAATAATCGCAAAATCGAGACGCACACAAAAAAGCTACTGAAAAATCAGATTGAAAAAAAATTCAGAAACGTGGACCAAATCTCTCAACCAAATGAAGCACAAAGGCGCAACTTTAACTAAAAAGGCGAGCTTGAGTTTTCAGAGATTCTTATAGGGACCATATTTGAAAAAGACTATTCTGAACAAACCTAATTTTAGATCAGAAATATGTGTTACCATAAATCAGGAACAGCTTGTGAAAATCAGATTGAGAAAGATAATCAATTGTTCAGAAACACGGACCAAATCTAAGAGGCGCGGATTCTTCGAATAAAAACGCAAGATTAAAGTTTCAGCTGTTCTTAGCACGCCTACATTTAAAAACGAAGATAATAAGCATGTTTTAGTTTTGATCAGAAAAAATTGTATCAAAAGATCAAAAACACAGGATATCTTCAAAAAGTAAAAATTAAAAGCTTATATCAAATTCACGCAGTTGAAATATACAGCCTAAATCAAATTAACAAAACAATAACAAAACATTATTGCACATAATCAGTAGTTCAGAAACACGGACCAAATTTCAAACCCAATCGAATCAAAAGGGCGTAGATTCTACAGACTCCATGTGAAAACTTCAATTGCTCTTAGCAAGGGTACAAGTAAAGACGAAGATTATAAACAGGTTTTACTTCTGATCAGAAAGAATATTAATCACGGATCAGGAACACGGGAAATCATCATTAAGTAAGCTTTAAAAGCATCAATCAAAATCACGAAGTTGAAACATACAGAGTAAATCAACTTAAGAGAACAAAAAAAATTGATGCACACATAAAAACTAATTGAATAATCAGACTGACTAAAATAATCAGTAGTTCAGAAACACGGACCTAATCTCATCATCAAACGAATAAAAAAGGCGTAGATTCTACAAAACAGACAATTGCGAGGGTTCAGATAATCTCAGCAAGTTTGTTTTTGACAATGAAGACAAAAAACAGGTTTTATTTTGATCAAAATGAAAAGATTTCTGGATTAGAAACATGGCATATCACTAGAAAGTAAGCAATCAAAAATATCAAACAAATTCACGACATCATAAAAATCACATAAAAATAATCGCAAAATCGAGACGCACAAAAAAGCTACGGAAAAATCAGATTCAAAAAAATATTCAGAAACGTGGACCGAATCTCCCAACCAAATGAAGCCCAAAGGCGCAACTTTAGCTAAAAAGGCGAGCTTGAGTTTTCAGAGATTCTTATAAGGACCATATTTGAAAAAGACTATTCTGAACAAACTTAATTTTAAATCAGAAATATGTGTTACCATAAATCAGGAACAGCTTGTGAAAATCAGATTGAGAAAGATAATCAATTGTTCAGAAACACGGACCAAACCTCATCACCAACCAAATCTAAAAGGCGCGGATTCTGCGATTAAAAACGCAAGAATAAAGTTTCAGCTGTTCTTAGCAAGCGTACATTGAAAAACGAAGATAATAAGCATGTTTTACTTCAGATCAGAAAAAATTGTATCAAAAGATCAGAAACACACTGATATCTTCATAAAGTAAGCTTTAAAAGCTTCTATCAAATTCACGAAGTTGAAATAAACTGACTAAATTAAATTAACAGAAAAATTTCAGAATTTCATAGAAAAACAGATTCTTCGCTACGTTCATTACTCTTATTAAAAACATCGCCAACAAACGGTCGGAAAAGAGTCAATGAGCACAAGGAAACAAAAAAAATACTGACCAGTGTTTTGAAGAAATTTCACTTTTTGGCATTTTCACTAATTCCAAAAAAAGAATACGAAAGATATTTGAAATTCTTGAACAATTTATGATGGACACTTTTTTCGATTGAGTTAACCCTATTTGAAAAACTGGACCAAAATGTAATGTTTTATTGCCCAGAGAAATCTGAAACAATTTGTATCCATTTCGAATCTAAAGTCGATCACGGTTTTTGTGATTTTCATTTTTTTTTACTGATCGATGGTCTAGTGTGCCTTTATTTCAACAAAGGATAGATAAAAAAGTGAGCGTAAGCGAATATAACATTTTACTGAAAATAAAAACAAAGAAGAAATCATCAAAACCTATATAAAAGTATTCACGATGTTCACTTCACGACTCTTAATCAGGAATCAAAAACATGAATTAATATCGAATCTCTACTGTTGACTCCTAACTTTGAAACTTAATTGCACTTATCAATTTCACAAATTAAAAAATACTTATAAATTTCAGTAGAAAAAAAACTAAAATTGTTTAGATTTTGGGTTCTTCGCACAGCCAGAATAAATCAATTGCACTGCTGCAGTTTTTTTTAAAAATTTTTGAACAAAAAAAACTAAGAAGATCATCCATATTTACGTTTAATACAATTGTCTTAATTCAATTCTGAGCTAACCTCATTATGAATTAGAATATTACTGAAATGGGGCTAGTTCAGAATCAATCTATTTAAACTGTCCAATTTTGGTTGCTTAAAGGACTGTTCATATAACTATGTTAGCAAGCTAGCTAATTTAACCATGGGTCAAAAACAAGGTATCAAGTCGAAATTTCACAATAAAAGAAACACAATAGTGAAATTGCATAACTTGTATAGAGTAAAACTTGTAAAGAGTAAACTGGTAAAGAATAAAACTTGTAAAGAATAATGAAAGCAAGTAAACAAAAAAACACTGACTTTGTTGAAAAAATCGCAACTTTTGAATTTCAAAAAAAATGATGCGCTTTAGCTCTTTGATTTTCTAGAACAATTTATGATTGGCGGTTTTTCGATAACATGAACTCAAATTGAGAAAACTGGATGAATAGGTAAAGTTTTTATTCCGCTGGGAAATCTTAAAAATAAATTCCACTTTCGAAATTAGAAATCATTCATGTTTTTTTTTGCGCCATCACCACGTTCGTATTCCGAGAGTGCTATTTAGGTCACTTTCAGCAGATGAATTTCAATTGAACTCAAAAAGTGCATATATACCTGAGTGCATCAACATTTTAAAACTTTTTCCTGAAATTTTTTTTTTTAAATCAGCAAGACCTACACAAGAGTCTTCACTACGTTCATTACTCTTAAAAGTAGCTCAAAAGGCTGTAAAAAAATAGAAAAAAGAAAGGAAAGGTTAAAACAAGTCTCGTCTCGAAACAAAGTTTTTGGTGTGCCGGAATTGAACCCTGACCAGAAGAATCTGATTCTCAAGTCCTCGCATCTGCCCCATGGGCGCTTTAAAATAGGCAATCACCAGCTACCAAAAAAGTAGATAGAACAGAAGCTATTAAAATGCCAATGCTATTAAACAAATGTGCCAACAAATGAGCTCTTTTATTTGCGAGCTGCGTTAGAAACAAATGGATTCGTAATTTCATACTGCTCACTAGTTTAAACAGAACAACAGTTAAAAACAATACAAATTAGAACAAATTTTTTGGATTAGAAATCATGGAGCACAAGCCACAAAAACAGGCAACTCAGTGTCGAAGTCCGGTAAATTTTTGCGAATAACCAGGATGAAAAAATACGATCAAATCTTGATATCAAATTAGTTTTTCGTGTCAAAACAATCTTCAAAACTTACCAGGTCGTCCATGTCATCATCTTTGGAATACCTGGCGTAATCTTTCCTCAAAGTTCTCATCAGAATCATTGTTACCAGTCCAACCAAAAAGATAACCATCATGAAAGAGTTGAAGATTGAAAACCAGTGAATCTTAAACACGAATTACACAGAGTCAAAATAACAGTCGTCCTTATAGCAAATCCAGCACTTAAGACAAAAATAGTCAAAGTGTATTCAAGCTTTCGGTTATTCTACGGAGTTAAATTGAAACTAGTCAATATTTCATGCACTTTATTACTACTTTATTTCGTAATTCTTATTTGAATAGTTTTTAGCTACGGAAAACTCACCCTGTGTTGGAAGAATGTTGGATCTAGGTACTTGTCAAATCGGTCCTCAAACTTCACTGTCGATGCTTTCCAATTTACCTGTAAAGTCAGATTTATAATCAAGCAATTCAAGACTAAAAAAAGTAAAATCCGATTTCGGTTTGATGACTCGTACTTCATATGAAAACTCAACTGCCCCATCAAGCTCCAGCTTAACTTTATGTTCACTGGTCAGGTTCACGTCAACTATCTGTTTGCCATTGTATCCAATATCAATTTTCTTGTGCGTCCAGATGTACTTCGCTGATTTATCTGCATCATCAACCTCGCCGACGATTCCTACAAAAAAACCACAAAACAAAATTACAGTCCAGTAACAAAAATTTATTTTAAAATCGTTAGAACACGTTTCATCCAATTCAAGCTCTTCATATTAAATCTTTACTCAGAGGCGAAGCTGTGCTTCGCAAACGCTAGCAAGAAAATTACCAAAAAGCCGCTCTATCATGTGAAATAAAAAAAAAGTAGAATATGCCTCGAATTAGGAAAAACTCAGCTACGTGCCGGATTCGAATCTGCGACTTAGCAAATTCGAGTCTCACGCACTAACCCCTCAGCCACAGATTCGTAAAACCCTCAAAAGCTAGCCACCAATAACGCAGCTACATATGCTAATAAATTGCCAATTCGATCCAGCAAAAGTAGCATCAAATAAAAAAAGACAACTTTGCATGGTATGATTATATTATTACAGACTTACACTCAATAAAACTGAAAAACAAAGTTTTCAATTTCCCTCCCCCAATTAAAACTGTCCATTTAGCTACAATTTTGGTATCTGAATTAAAGCTAACTAGCGTTTAACGCATCTCCGATGCTTCGATTTTTTAACAACTCATAAAAACCGGCATAGATTGGACAGAAGATCTGCATTCTTTGAGTGTTCTATGACAGCACCCAAGTACAGGGATGGTAATATCAGATTTTTGAAGATTTTTCATTCAAATTCTTTTTAATTCAAACTTTGAAAAGCCATAATTTTTTTTCATCAAATTTCTTTGAAAACTTTTAAAACGAAATAACAAACGTCACTTTTCGGAAACTAAAAGCAATTGAGCAGTTGCAATATTTGCATTTTCTGAGAGTACTCTTTTAGTACCCAACTACAGCGTTGGTAACTTCAAAACTAGAGAAACTTCAAACTTAAGTTTTCTAAAAAAAAATATTTTGAAAAACATCATATCTCGAAACTACAAGGTTGGGAATTTCAAACCTTTTTGAATTTTGTAAGTTTTCTGAAAAACTAAAAAGAAATCGTAAAGCACTTCATATCTAGAAAACTTCATATCTGGGAATTTAAATTTGAAAGATTTATTGTTTAATTTAGGTTTAGTTTAGCTAAGTTAACTTTTTATTAGTCAAATGTCAAAGAACATATGATATTCTACTGCTGCCGCAGCTTACCAATTCAAAAGTGCCACAAAAGTATCTATTTTCGACTTAGCTTGGAAAAAAAGAAAGTTTGTACTAACACCCTTTGCTTCGCAAGTGTAATAAGCAACCTTGAATAAAAATTAATTTGAGAACACAGGTTCGTTCGTTAACAGAGACCAGATTTTGAACTATACTTGGAAAATAAGTTAATTAGTTTGAGCTCTATTTGGAAAATGAATTAGTTAGCAAATTACTAACCCCAAATTGGTAGATCATCGATGTACATCTGATACCAGTAATACTGTTTCACTGCATGTTCGAAGTCTTTGAGCTTGTCGACAGTAAGTTTAATGTTACAATAACTGGTTTTCGGCACATTTTCTGGAACATTGCATACCGGTAACAAAAAGGAAACGCAACAAAAAAACAATGAGAGCAGCAAACTTACGTCTGAAATTGATGTTCAAGCCACTGAACTCCAACTCGATACCTTGCAAATCCTCACCCAAAGTTTCGTGGTGATGCTCAATTTGAGCTTTAGGACCACTGCAGAAAGGCAATGAGAAGTATTTATATGTTTCTTGTCTGTTGTGATAAGGCCCTACTGTATTCATCCACAGCACAACTTCTTCGTTGTCTTCGTACTACAAAAAAAAAATAATTGAGACGCCGTAAGAACATCGATATTTTGAGAAACATTGTCGTACCTTATGGTTATGCTCATCGCCCCAACACAAAAGAAGAAGACACACAACGTGCGCTAAATGGGTAATCTGGTTCCTCATATAAACTGAAACTGGACAAATATTAGAAGAAAAGCGGAATTAATCGAAAAGGAGTACATCATGAGCAGATCGATAGAGGTGACAACACGCCTAAAAGATCAGAAAAACAACTGAACTGAACTGAAACTAAAAATTAGGTTAGCGTGGCCACCTCTAATATCACAATTGACGAGGATTATGAAAACCTTAAGTTATTTCACTTTTATTCTCTCTTTCATTTTTGACAAATCAGAAGGTCAAAAATTACCACAGTAACCAAAGTTCCTTCACTAATCATTCATCATTCTACGCAGTCAAAAAAAAACATTGGAATTTCATAAATTCAGAAAAAGTGAAGAGTCAGGCGTTTGGGAATCAAGCCAATCAGAATGAGACCCGCACAGACTAAAACCGGAGTCGAGAGAAACTCGTAGCAATTGACCTTATAGGACTGCTGCATATGTATTAGATACTTATGCTATGCTGCATTTTCTTTACCTGAGCTCAATAAGGAAAAAAAACGTCTTCGAAAATACATTTTATCATTTATAGTGCTGAGTAACCTGTATTGCGAGGGAGATTCTCTGCTCAAGAAACAAGAAAGATGTTTGTGCCTGTTTAAGGAGCGCCCTCTGCTGTATGCTGTGTGCCCTCGCCCTCTGCTGTGTGGAGATTCTCTGCTCAAGATGTTTGTGCCTGTATGTGGAGCGCCCTCTGAGGGATTTTAGAGACAGGTCTGTCAAGTGGCTTTCTGTGGGGAGGTGGGAAACTGGAACTGGCTTGAGGAGTCTGGTGGTGCGCCGCTGGACCTACTGAGCTCGGGTGAGATTGTTCCTTGTTTTTGGTTTTTATAATTCGATTTTAAAATTTAAATTAATTTAGTTGTCTTTTTTTATTTGCTGATTTGTAAAATTCCCACTAACCGCTTATCATGGGTTAGTTCAGTCCCCTTAAGTCCAGTCAAAATCCTTTTTTTTAACCTTTATGCTGCGTCAAGATGAGGAAAAACAACAAAGAGTGTACAAGCAAAGATTGCTTAAAACCTTCAGGACTGATAAATTGGATTAGATGTGATTGTTGTTCTAGTTGGTATCATATCAGTTGTGTAAATATTTCTCTTAGCGACTCTAAGAAAACCCAATGGTTTCAGTGTCCTTTATGCGTTGATGTAAAATCTGTTAATAAAGCAACAAAAGGTAATGATTTAGTGCTAGACAATTAAGTTAATACAGCCATCTCAAATGTCCGAGTACTCAAGAGAGTACCAAAAGACTCGCGTGTTCCCTTGGCGGAAAGTCTGTCGGACAAAATAAATGACATCGTCTACAATGTAGAAGATGTTACAAAATGGCTAATTTTTTTAACGTCGTTCTTGTTTTTTTTTGGAGCAACCGAGAAGAAGTGGACGCAAACAGACCACAAGCATGAGCTCTTTGTTAAACAAAAAAAATTCGAGCAAATGACGTGTCACTTCCAAAACCCCATCCCCAAATTTCAAGCCCGCCTGAGTGACCTCGAGCAGAGAATAAATTTAATAAGTAGTAAGCTCGATGAAGGAAATGTAAAGGGAGGAACAAGGCTTGTTTGTTCGGATGACAAAATAGCTCCTTTTTCAACTGATAACTATCAAAAAGTGTTGTCTAAGCACCCGCAGCGAGCCAAATTTGCAGCTCCAAATCCAGAAAAGTTGGATAGTTTTTTCGTAACCGATTTCGACCTATACAAAGCGATAATGTCCTTTCCAAACGGATCAGCAGCAGGTCCTGATAAAACAGTTCCTCAAATTTTTAAAGATCTTATTAGTAAGTCGAATGCTAGTGCAGGACTTAATTTTCTGAAATCGCTTACTAAGCTGATAAACCTCATTGGAGATGGCAAAATACCCGAACCACTAAGACCTTTCTTTTTTGGCGCAAAGCTTATCGCCCTCATAAAAATAGACGGAGGGTTGAGACCGATTGCCATAGGCAACACGCTGAGACGTATCGCGTCTAAATGCGCTGGAAGCAAGGCCCTCTCCGAGCGACAAATTTTTTCGGAAATGTACAGGTAGGATGCGGTACTAAACGAGGAGCAGAAATAGCTGCGCACTCGTTTCGAAACCTAATTGAACGCGATGACAATCCAAAATGCACTGTTCTTTTAAAACTAGATTTTAAGAATGCCTTTAACTCTTTAAACAGAGAAACAATGCTGAATCATGTTTATTCAAATCGCCCCGAATTGTAGAATTTCACCAATTGCGCGTATGGTAAACCTAGTTACCTCTTTTATGGAAGCTCTGTCATAATGTCAGAAGACGGAACTCAGCAAGGTGATCCTGAAGCCCCACCCCTTTTTGCGGAAACAATTCATACACTAGTCAAACAGTTGGAGTCGAAAATTAACATCTGGTATTTAGATGATGGGAAATTAGCCGACGACTATAAGGTAGTACTCCGGGACCTTAAAAACATTCTGAAATTGGAACAAATTTACGGCCTGAGCTTAAACACTGAGAAGACCGTTTTTTGGGACCGACTACTATTATACAGTATAATACAATTTTAACACAATTTCGAAAAATATGCCCCAAAATAAAAACAAAAACAAAAGAAGAACTCCTTATTTTAGGATCTCCAAAAAATTAAGGAGCTTGAAAAAATCTCGGATGTCATTGACAAACTAGACGCCCATTATGGTTTTACCTCCTGAAAAATTGCTTTAGCATGCCAAAACTCCTATATTTTTTGCGTACGAGCCCTTGTTTTTTGCAAAATGATTTTTTGGAACGCTACGATAAATTACTAAGAAATTTGTTATGCAAGGTCACTAACGTGAAAATGGATAATAACCAGTTGTTACAAGCAGTTCTCCCGGCAGTCAAAGGTGGCTTGGGCGTTTCTTCCGCTCGTCTACTCGCTTTAGCCGCTTTCTGAGCCTCAGCAGTAGGAGCAAAAGATGCCTTGAGCAAAATCTTTGGTTTGGAGCATGTGTATAGAACCTATGATGATGCGCTTAAACGGTGGTTTGACCTTGGAAAATTGAAATGGCTCCGGAAAAAGAAATCCAAAAAATTTGGACGGAGCCAATTTTTGACAGCGAAATTGCAGACTTGATTTTACGACTCGAACCGAAAATTCTTAAGCACTGAGAAGTGTGAACTTTGTTTTTTTGGGACCGACTACTAGTATACAGTATAATACAATTATAACACAATTTCGAAAAATATGCCCCAAAATAAAAACAAAAACAAAAGAAGAACTCCTTATTTTAGGATCTCCAAAAAATTAAGGAGCTTGAAAAAATCTCGGATGTCATTGACAAACTAGACGCCCATTATGGGTTTACCTCCTGAAAAATTGCTTTAGCATGCCAAAACTCCTATATTTTTTGCGTACGAGCCCTTGTTTTTTGCAAAATGATTTTTTGGAACACTACGATAAATTACTAAGAAATTTGTTATGCAAGGTCACTAACGTGAAAATGGATGATAAACAGTTGTTACAAGCAGTTCTCCCGGCAGTCAAAGGTGGCTTGGGCGTTTCTTCCGCTCGTCTACTCGCTTTAGCCGCTTTCTTAGCCTCAGCAGTAGGAGCAAAAGATGCCTTGAGCAAAATCTTTGGTTTGGAGCATGTGCATAGAACCTATGATGATGCGCTTAAACGGTGGTTTGACCTTGGAAAATTGAAATGGCTCCGGAAAAAGAAATCCAAAAAAATTGGACGGAGCCAATTTTTGACAGCGAAATTGCAGACTTGATTTTACGACTCGAAACGAAAATTCTTAAGCACTGAGAAGTGTGAACTTTGTTTTTTTGGGACCGACTACTAGTATACAGTATAATACAATTATAACACAATTTCGAAAAATATGCCCCAAAATAAAAACAAAAACAAAAGAAGAACTCCTTATTTTAGGATCTCCAAAAAATTAAGGAGCTTGAAAAAATCTCGGATGTCATTGATAAACTAGACGCCCATTATGGTTTTTACCTCCTGAAAAATTGCTTTAGCATGCCAAAACTCCTATATTTTTTGCGTACGAGCCCTTGTTTTTTGCAAAATGATTTTTTGGAACGCTACGATAAATTACTAAGAAATTTGTTATGCAAGGTCACTAACGTGAAAATGGATGATAACCAGTTTTTACAAGCAGTTCTCCCGGCAGTCAAAGGTGGCTTGGGCGTTTCTTACGCTCGTATACTCGCTTTAGCCGCTTTCTTAGCCTCAGCAGTAGGAGCAAAAGATGCCTTGAGCAAAATCTTTGGTTTGAAGCATGTGGATAGAACCTATGATGATGCGCTTAAACGGTGATTTGACCTTGGAAAATTGAAATGGCTCCGGAAAATGAAATCCAAAAAAATTGGACGGAGCCAATTTTTGACAGCGAAATTGCAGACTTAATTTTACGACTCGAACCGAAAATTCTTAAACACTGAGAAGTGTGAACTTTGTTTTTTTGGCACCGACTACTAGTATACAGTATAATACAATTATAACACAATTTCGAAAAATATGCCCCAAAATAAAAACAAAAACAAAAGAAGAACTCCTTATTTTAGGATCTCCAAAAAATTAAGGAGCTTGAAAAAATCTCGGATGTCATTGACAAACTAGACGCCCATTATGGTTTTTACCTCCTGAAAAATTGCTTAAGCATGCCAAAACTCCTATAATTTTTGCGTACGAGCCCTTGTTTTTTGCAAAATGATTTTTTGGAACGCTACGATAAATTACTAAGAAATTTGTTATGCAAGGTCACTAACGTGAAAATGGATGATAACCAGTTTTTACAAGCAGTTCTCCCGGCAGTCAAAGGTGGCTTGGGCGTTTCTTCCGCTCGTCTACTCGCTTTAGGCGCTTTCTTAGCCTCAGCAGTAGGAGCAAAAGATGCCTTGAGCAAAATCTTTGGTTTGGAGCATGTGGATAGAACCTATGATGATGCACTTAAACGGTGGTTTGACCTTGGAAAATTGAAATGGCTCCGGAAAATGAAATCCAAAAAAATTGGACGGAGCCAATTTTTGACAGCGAAATTGCAGACTTGATTTTAAGACTCGAACCAACGGACGTAAAAAGATTCAACGCGTTCCAAGATAGATTTGGCTCCCAATGGTTGAACGTCATCCCGTGCAAAAATTTAAGGTTAAAACTGTCGAAGCAACCAAAATCGCCCCGAATTGTAGAATTTCACCCATTGCGCGTATGGTAAACCTAGTTACCTTTTTTATGGAAGCTCTGTCATAATGTCAGACGACGGAACTCAGCAAGGTGATCCTGAAGCCCCACCCCTTTTTGCGGAAACAATTCAAACACTAGTCAAACAGTTGGAGTCGAAAATTAACATCTCGTATTTAGATGATGGGAAATTAGCCGACGACTATAAGGTAGTACTCCGGGACCTTAAAAACATTCTGAAATTGGAACAAATTTACGGCCTGAGCTTAAACACTGAGAAGTGTGAACTTTGTTTTTTGGGACCGACTACTATTATACAGTATAATACAATTTTAACACAATTTCGAAAAATATGCCCCAAAATAAAAACAAAAACAAAAGAAGAACTCCTTATTTTAGGATCTCCGAAAAAATAAGGAGCTTGAAAAAATCTCGGATGTCATTGACAAACTAGACGCCCATTATGGTTTTTACCTCCTGAAAAATTGCTTTAGCATGCCAAAACTCCTATATTTTTTGCGTACGAGCCCTTGTTTTTTGCAAAATGATTTTTTGGAACGCTACGATAAATTACTAAGAAATTTGTTAAGCAAGGTCACTAACGTGAAAATGGATGATAACCAGTTTTTACAAGCAGTTCTCCCAGCATACAAAGGTGGCTTGGGCATTTCTTCCGCTCGTCTACTCGCTTTAGCCGCTTTCTTAGCCTCAGCAGTAGGAGCAAAAGATGCCTTGAGCAAAATCTTTGGTTTGGAGCATGTGGATAGAACCTATGATGATGCGCTTAAACGGTGGTTTGACCTTGGAAAATTGAAATCGCTCCGGAAAATGAAATCCAAAAAAATTGGACGGAAACAATTTTTGACAGCGAAATTGCAGACTTAATTTTTCGACTCGAACCGAAAATTCTTAAACACTGAGAAGTGTGAACTTTGTTTTTTTGGCACCGACTACTAGTATACAGTATAATACAATTATAACACAATTTCGAAAAATATGCCCCAAAATAAAAACAAAAACAAAAGAAGAACTCCTTATTTTAGGACCTCCAAAAAATTAAGGAGCTTGAAAAAATCTCGGATGTCATTGACAAACTAGACGCCCATTATGGTTTTTACCTCCTGAAAAATTGCTTTAGCATGCCAAAACTCCTATATTTTTGCGTACGAGCCCTTGTTTTTTGCAAAATGATTTTTTGGAACGCTACGATAAATTACTAAGGAATTTGTTATGCAAGGTCACTAACGTGAAAATGGATGATAACCAGTTTTTACAAGCAGTTCTCCCGGCAGTCAAAGGTGGCTTGGGCGTTTCTTCCGCTTGTCTACTCGCTTTAGCCGCTTTCTTAGCCTCAGCAGTAGGAGCAAAAGATGCCTTGAGC